GTGAAATCCAAAACACTGCTGGTTCCAAGCATTTTAGAAAAGAGATATGCAACATGTATCCAATTATTATATTATATTACCCTTGAGACTTATGCTTCATGTTCAGATCAACCTGGACGATGTTGAGAAGTCTCAAGCGCCTTCAAACCAGTTCTTTGGCACCAGAGGAAGGCTTTGTGCCTTCAAAATATAGGCCATTGGAATTGGGGTTGTGATTATTCCTATATTCACAGCCATTGAGAAAGAAAGACCTGGAAAAGTTTCTCAGCTGCAAAACTCCTTGGACCCAAGACAACCAGAGACTGTAATGTATATTTTCCTTTACCCCTTTGAAACTTCCAGCTTATTGCCTTAAAGGGATAACTCTTTGTGAACAATTAAACATATTTTGAGTTATCTACAGTGTTTTGATCCTTGGGAGTTCCAGTTTTCCTAAAGGAGGGCAAGAAGCAATCCCCTGGGGGAAAGATGTCATGTCCATGCCTCTTTCACTAAAAGTTATAGCCCCCAGGCGCGACGACACACCTACTGGGTACAATATTTACCTTGTACCCAGTAGAAGTTATCCTTTCTCTGTCAGTGCTTACTACTCATTTCCCTTTCTGTTTTTTCAGCTCTCACCTGCCCATCCAACAGCCATTATGAGTTATGTACAAGGACATGCGATTTCACCTGTGTCGGATTGTCCACTCCAGGACAATGTACCAAAACATGCTTTGAAGGGTGCCAGTGTGACAATGGCTACCTGTTTGATGGAGACAGATGTGTGCCAATGGAGAACTGTGGCTGTGTACACGAGGGGCGCTACATCAAGGTAAGTTCAACTGTTGTAAGTTTTGATCCACTCATGTGTGCATATAGCTTTTCTTGACTCTCATAAGAAAGGGGACAAAGAACCTTGGACCCCTAGGTATTATGGGATTACAACTTTCATCAGCACCATCCAAAATAAGGCAAGGTGTGATAGGACTTGTAATCCAATAACATCTGGAAGGTTACACATTGCTAACCTCTGTTTTAGGAGCAAGCTTCTTTCCTCTCTGAGCCC